CCCCCTTTGGCGTTATGTATTCAAACGGTGAAACTGGGCTCTCACACTTCCTGTGCTAAAACCTAGAACGACTTGGAGACTGACTTACATTTCTGTTTCCGTATTCTGCTAAAGACGATGCCTCCTGATCTCCAGCCTTTCAGCTTTTGTAGTTCTGGATTTCACTCACTTGGGAGCCAACATTCAGGTGCAGAAATTTACAGAAAGAGTAGTCCGTGTAGTTTCTTTTAGTAAAGGTTTTTCTTACTAAGAAGCAGTTCATGACACACCTTAAAAATTTTGATTTGTGGGTTTGTTCGTTTTCGATCTCTAAAAGTTACACAGTTTTAGACTTCACAGAGTAAGAGATGCAGGTTGATTTTAGATTTTTACGCCGTCAAAGAAATTGCTTCTAAAAAATCAGGTTTTTATCTATTTTGGTTTTAAAATCATATAAATTGCCCAAACTCAAATCCAAGATCAGAGGTGAAAGCACAGGATGATCTGTAAGTCAACTTTTGTTTTTTGGCCTCATGCACTATTGGCACTTTATTATTCAAGTTTCAGATTTGGAGGGACAAATGCCGGAAGGAAGGACAACCTGAATGCCGACTACGGACTGGGGAATTGCGCACAGACATCGATATTGTTCACAAAACTGTCTCGTCTCTAATTATTACAGATTTAGAGGTGAAACTGGGTTCCTTTTACAGTGATGGATATATTTTTTTTTTATTTTTGTTTTTAATAGTGAGAAATTTACAGTCGACGTGACTGGCTGCCCTCATTATAGAATCTTAACTGCCACTGGATGTGCTTTTTGAAGAACTAAATAAGTTTTCTCTTGTGTTCCACCTCTTAGTAAAATATTTCACATATAGTTTAACGCTCGAGGGTCGACCAGGGCCAAATGGGAAAATCGTTTAACAAATGCATATCACTGACATTTCGCTCAAATACAATTTATCCATGTGCCAAATTAACTTTAACGAAACCTGAAATGACAGTAGAAATTGGAGCAAGAGTCGTACTGCGCATGAAATTTGGAGAGAATGAACCAGAAAATGAGAAAATAGCCGCTGCAAAACTAATCCTGGCCTATCGATCAGCCGAATGAATTGTTCTTCAAAGGCACTTATGAGGCCCATTCAGAGCACTTCCGAATCCGAAATTAGAATCTTGCCAGCATGACATTTATTTCTTCAGTTACTAAAGCTTAATACAACAGCTTCATATTTACAAAGGGAATGTAATAATTATTGAGGAGGGCCTCAGCAAAATTTTTAAAAAACCCAGGCTTGTCGGTGCGGTCATGCGTTTTTGCACTAAACTCGTGGGTTGCTAATAGCAGGAACTCGCCAGTCGCTAATAGCAGGAATAATCCCTGTGCTGCACCCAAACACTTGGGCTCATACTGGTCATACTTTGGTTCTTGCGGCATGCAGCAGAATGAGCATCGGCTGAGATGAGGGTGTTGCGTTATAGAACCGCATGGACTTGTAGGTACGTGATTACCAGTTTTTCGCATGAAGCTCGGTCGTTTTTTCGGTAAATGCCAACTTTTTGAAAAAATGAAAATGCAGATTTTTCGAAAAAATGCAAATTTCCAGTTCACTAAAAAGTGGAAATGTTGCTCAAGCGGTTGTTTGTGAAAAAATCCAAGTATGCAGATGAACTAATGTTCATTTACGTATTTGGATGAGAGCGGGCGTTCGCTGCAAAATGCACTCGTTTCCGACTTTTCGGTAAAGTTGAGTATTTCTCAAGCCTACCTGGAGGGAATTCGACCTCCAAGCAGAATTAAGACCGTACTTGAAAGTAGAATAACCCAGCAAATTTCCAGCCCCGCAGCTTATCCAGAAAGCGAAATATCCACTTCGCTACAAATATTTTTGAAGTGCCCTAAATAGTGGCGCAAGTGCAAATCGGTACTCATTTTAGGTATACCGTTTTCTATATGGGAAACAAATATCCTGACAAAATTTCAGCCACTGTTTTCAGGCAAGTTTTCGGATTAGCATAGTACTAAGTCGCAAACTTTAACGTGGTCGTACGAGCTGCACAAGCGTGCGCGACAGCTGAATTTGAAACCTCTATTTCGCAAATGCATAGAGAATATCCCTTGTACCTCGTCTGGTTCGCGAAATCGCTTCAGCTTTGTACCTTGCCTGGTTCGCGAAATCGCTTCCTTCCAAGGAAATTTGCGTATTTTTTTAGGGGTTCCGTACGCGAGTTCTAGGCGCATATGGGGGAAGATCTTAAAACGGGAGGGTGACACACGGGATAGGAAATATACCCGAAATTTCAGCCACGCAGCTTTCCTGGTTGCTGAGATGAAAGTGGGTGACAAAATGCACTCGCTTTCCGAACACAAACACACAGCCTCTCAACAATATGCGTTTTTGCTTGCTGCACAGCAATAAAAAGTACGTGTTTCACAAATAAATCCCTCACATTCAAAGAGTAACCCAATTATTAAGCCTCTTTATTAACTTTTAAAAGTATCTGAGTTTTAAAAAATCGTTGCAAATACCGCAGTATAATTTAAGGTTAGGTTAAAAGGAAAATCAATACCTGCAATGTATCTCAATAACAAAATTACTTAATTTACTCTACTTATTAATACCTCAGTCCAATCACTCTACTTAATTTCTCACCCGGCTTAAAGACAGATAGTTAAAAAGATCGATCAAGAAGAGAACTGAAGTGCTAAAAACTTGCATGTTTCTCGCACCTAATAATTCACAGTCCGGTAAATACTCATTTTGAATGGCAGTACCAAAGAACAGCTACTTTTCGCCGTTTGTGGAATGCCTGCGTATAATATTAACATCCAAATTAAGAAATAAATCGCCATTGGTATAGTTATGCGTTTTGTGCAGTTCTGTCTAGCGGACGTTTGCTGTTAAAAATGTTCACTGCTTTGCTGCTTGTCTGAATCATGAAAATACATGATTGTACATTATCTGAATTCATCAGCTGAGATAAAAAAAAAAGGCAATGAATAAAAGTACATGATCATTTTGAAGCACTGGTTGCAGAAGAATTGCTAAAATTCGTTAATGAGTCTGATTTATAGTTCGAAGCAACTGATTCATCGTCATCTTTAGCCGAATCGCTGACGGCTGATTCAATAACGGACAGCGATTCACCCTCATCGCTCTCAAAATCCTCATCCTCGTAGACCAGTGCACTTTGTACGTTCGCTTGTGATTCCTCCTGCGCAGTAATTTGGTGTACTGCTGAAGTATTATCGTTATACATGAGGTTTGCCATTAGGTTTTCTCCTTGTTCTTCCTGCAAAAACGTGACAAATTTGAAGTGAGTATTTGTAAAATAAAATCAACCAAATGGTACAGAACTTTTTTGCCAAAGTTATTAGGACCGCCTAAACAACCGGAGCAAGAACACAGCAGCACTCGTTCTACTTTTGCGAGTAACAACGTTTCATAGCCATACGTCATTGTCCCTCAGCTGGACTCTAAAGAAGAGACTAGCACATTCCTCCAGTTCGACATTTTGAGGATTTCAATGAAGCCATGAAATTTGCGCCAACCGGCGGCCCTTCTGTGTGCATCCCTTCGGCTGAACACTCATCTAAGCACCTCTAATGCGCAGTTTGGTCAACTATCATTTTACATTCCCTTAATTATTTGTTTTCGCATATATGCAAATGCAAAATCGCATATTTTGACGACCCCAATGTTTGTGTCTGTATGTTTGTGTGTGTGCGTGTACGGGTGTGTGTAGGAGTATGTGTGTGTGCGTGTGTGAGCGTGTGCATGTGTGCGTGTGTGTATGCGTGTGTGTGTGTGCGTCTGTACGGGTATTTCAACTCAACAACCAGACAAGCTCCGATGTAAAATTTTGCCAGCCGATTCTCCTGCCAAGTGCCACCCCAGGATCGCAGTACCAATTTCACGCACGTGTGAACCTCATGCACTATCACGTGGAAGTTTTGGCGGGAAAATCGCTAATTTGGGAACCAGAAAAGCTGACAGGCTGAAATTTTCAGGGGATGTTCCCGTCCGAGTAGAACTCAAGGATTTCAAATTCTCGCGTACAACTGCGTGAAAATTTTTGACCAGAAGAATCACTAACTCGTGAACCAGGAAAACTGCACGGGGACGAGGGGGGGGGGGGCGGGAAGGCTGAAGTTTTAAGGAGATGTTCCCAGCCACCGTACAAATTAAAGATGTCATATTCGGCCTCCAGGTATGCGCGGTTCTCACATACGGACCCATGAAATTTTTTGGCAAAAAAACTGCTGACTAGGGAACAAAAAAAGTCGGAAAGCTGAAACTTTAACGGAATGTCCCCTGTCCAAATACCAAATAGTTGCATAATTAACTTTTCGAACTTCAAGGGCCAATTTCTAGCTACTGGGTTCCCAAACGATCTCATTACAGCACGAAATACTACAAAAACGCATGGTCGCATAGGTCCGCCTGGTGCGCTTCGCCAATGATTTTATCTGCGCTGATTTTCAGACCCACTACTTTATTTCCCGTAGCAAGCACCTGGTTCATTTCATGAGCGCTGTAGGTGATGAGACTTGTGTCATCTGCAAAGCTTAGATAGTTTATCTTGCATGCCTTTCCAATTCAGTTTTTGAAATACAAACTCGAAGCAGGCCGTTAAAAGCTTGACTGACATGCGATTGCGACCTAATTCGAAAAGCACTGGAAATACAAAGTGAAGTCTGTCGAAGCCTACACGTGATTCTTTAACGATTTCCAATTAGCTCCCATCGACCCCTTTATCTACAAGAGTTTGCAGCACAGCATCCAGCTTCAGTTACCGAATACATTTTTATGACTGACAGTACGATTTAAGGAACGCTGATACTTTTTTTGAGTGTTCCAGCAGCTGGCTTATATCGAAAGTGTGATCTGTTGTGCTGTAAGTGTAATGTGCGATGTGTTCTTGCATTTTGTGAATAGTTCATAAGCTGTGCTACCACACGCTGGGCAGGTTTTCGTGGTCTGTAACCCTTAAAGTTAGCCCGACGAGATACGACACAGTGTTATCTCGAAATGAATGAAGCTGCTCGGTTTGTCCTTAGCGGTGCCTTAGATTTAACACACTTCGCTTCGACACCGAGTGCTGCATGAGTCGTCATATGTGACAAGAGCAATTCTTTCTATCAGTGATATTTTCAAGCATCAAAACAACTACAAAACGTTAACTACAAGTGAATAGCAACGATTGTTTTAGTCGAAGAGCAAGAATGCAGCGAGGCACTTTTCGAAACTGGCTGGGGCGTCTCATCTCTGGCCTTTCGGGGTTTTTTACCCAAAAGTGAAGTTTTAACTTACTAACTACCTAATATTTTGTCAGTGGAATTTATGTAATGGTTGGGTGTGTAAGCAATGGCGAATACCACTAATTTTCCACAAGAAAAAGCAACATACAAAACATGATCATTTAAGTATCCATATCTTCACAAAATGAATTTCTCCACACTTCCCGATGATTCCGCTGAATAGATTTGCAATACTCATCTCTATTACTATTGGTGCCTGTTGCTTTTACGAAACTGAAATTACCGTATATCGCGCGGTTGAGTGAACGTAGACTATACTGCTTTGCCCGAAAAATCGGCTATTTACCTTTCATTCCTCCAAAATTAAATGGGAAGTATTCGAACTTTCCGGGTAGTGCTACTTCGCCTTACAGACACAAAAATAACTAAACAAACCCCTGTGCTGCGTATTTTGCTGTTTGACATTCCAATATCGATGAGTAGCTCTGCTATCGCTTTGCGCAGCATCTCCTAAATGTTATTCAGGCTTTGGCAGGGAATAGGAAAAACCTGATGATTCTGTTGAATGAAACAAGCCAAAAAGTCCTTCAGTAATTTTTAAAGTAGAAACAAAGAACAAAATGAGTCAAAAATAAAATGAATGCCCGAAACTAATTTAAAATTTGCTCTGCATTTACTTCCGTACTTTGTTCCCAAACATGAAACCGTGTTTGTCAACTTCAGCAAAATATGAAAATATTACTTACAAAAGTGTTTAAGAAAGGAACAAACCATTGTAAGCGAATGATTCTTCGCTGCATTCTGTAAGATACAGTCCTGTATAACACTGAAACATTCCATTATGTCCAGTTAACAAGGAATTTGTAGAATGAATACCAAGACTGGAAAACCAGATCCGCCACTGGGCCTATTAGCATATTAACAAGAAACCCAACTGGAAATCACGAGGCTAGCCGGTGCGAGCATGCGTTTTTGCTCAGTTTTTTATGTAAATTTCATTCACAAGGGAGTGCATTTTGCAGCGAACGACCGCCCTCATCCTCTCCCAACGTCCAATTTCAGTTCTTCATTCAAAAGAGAAAATGTTGCTAGAGCAGTCGTTCGTCAAAAAATCCAAATATGTAAATGAGCTGGATGTTGGGAGAGGGTGAGGGCGGTCGTTCGCTGTAAAATGCATTCGTTTCTGATTTTTCGGTAAAGTTGAATACTCCTCATTCCCACCCGCAAGAAATTTCACCCCCAAAAAGAATTAAGACCGCACTGGAAGTAGAATATTCCAGCGAACTTTCAGCCTCGCGCATGTTCCGGTAAGCGAAATTGCCACTTCGCTACAAATATCTTTGAAGTGCCCTAAATCGTGGCACAAGTGCAAATCGGAACTCAATTTAAGTATACGATTTCCCATACGGACGATAAATATTCTGATAAAATTTCAGCCACTGTTCCGGCTAGTTTTTGAGTTAGCATTGTTCCAGGTGCAAACTTTGATGTGACCATACGCGCTGCACAAACGTGCGCAATGGCTGAATTTGAGATCTTTACACAAGCACATAGAATATCCCTGTAAAGTTTTAGTTTTCTATCTTGCTGGTTCCCAAAATCGTTTCCCGCAGAAGAATGGGAAGTACATACACGGGGCCTAGGTGCGTATGAGTGAATATTTTGAAGTGGTAGGAGGAGGGAGGAGGGAGCTGACACACGGGCTGGAAACATATCCTCAAAATTTCAGCTTCCCAGCTTTCCTGGTTGCTGAGTTGAAAGTGGGTGAAAAAGTTCACTCGCTTCCGAACACAAAACACATAAACGGCCTCTCGACAATATGCGTTTTGCTGGCTGTAACAATAAAAACACATAAAAATCATTGGCGACGGGCACCGGGCAAGCCCATGCAATCATTCGTTTTTGCAGTATTTCGTGCTGCAGTAAGATCGTTCGGAAACCCAATAGCTAGAATTTGTGACATAGTGGTCCTCGAAGTTCCGGAAGTTAATTGTGCAACTAAGTGGTACTTGAACAGGAAACATTATGTTAAAATTTCAACTTTCCAACTTTTTTGGTTCTCTTGTTAGCAGTTTTGTTGCCAAAACTTCCACGGAGCCGTATATGACCTGGGGGCACACCTGTTGGCTGAGTTCGAAACTTTAAGTTGTACGTGAGCTAGGAACATCCCTTTAAAATTTCAGCCTTCCAGCTTTCCTGGCTTCCCAAGTGATCATTTTTCCCGCCAGAAAACCTCACAGGACCGTATGTGGGAACCACACATACCTGAGGGTTGAATTTGAAATCACTGACTTTGAATTTGAAGTCACTGAAATCCAGGTGGACGGGGAACATAATCTCAGAATATCAGCTTCCCAGCTTTTCTGGTTCCCGGGTTAACGATTTTCCGCCAAAACTTTCACCCTCCCATTACGCGGGACCCAGACTTGCGTGAGTGCTAGTACCGCGGTCCTGGAGTGGCACTTGGCCTGGGAACCCACAGACAAAATTTTGGCGCTGGAGCTTACTTGGTTGCCGGGTTGAAATATCCTGACAGACGAACACACACATACACACACCAGAGTCGTCAAAATATGCGTTTTTATGCGTTTTTGCATATATGTAAATTGCAAAAACGCATATTGGGAAGAG